GTGTTAATTCTGAATCTGTAACTCTGATTCATCATCTTAACACTGACATGAGTGTAAATTATAAAAACTTTGTAGGCTTTTTGTTCGTAACTTTTCTTCCAATAGGACTTCAATTCTGCTTTAAAGCTGTATTTTTTTTATCTTTTTTGAGCTGTGTTCAGATAAAGCTTCTTATGTAATGAGTCACCAAAAAAATAAAAAATAAATAAAAAATGAGTAAAGGAACACACTGTCTGCTCTCATCACTTCCACGCCTTCCCTCCCTTTCCTCCTTCTAAATTCACTCCCTCCTCCCTCAACCTAAGGTTTAAACCTGTTTGTATCTTTGTCATCCTGCTGAGGGTGACTTTGAGTAAATTAAAAGAACATAAAAATATGGATTTAAAAAAATTAAAGTGCTATTTTAGCTGAAAGAGAATGAACAATGACATCAAAAGATAAAAAGGAGACTATAGACTGGTTCTTAGAAAAAAGACTGAGCTGTTTCCCTTAGCGTGTTATCACTTCCAGCTAAGGTTCAATATGATTTAATAAGAACACTGAAAAGCACTAAAAGCCACTCTAAAACCTCAGAACGGGTTGGCTTTTGGTACAAAAGTCTCTCCTGATGGACATGATGAGTCAGTTTTCTTTACTTTTGCGCTAAAAGGAATAAATTGTTCTGAGAAATTCAACAGCCTAGAGTCAGGCAGCGGAGTCTCCTGTACGACTATGAAGGTTCATTTTGAAATAAAAGAATGGTTTTGATTCAGTAAAATAAGTAGAAAAGAAAACCTGTTTTCACATTTTGATTGGCTTCRATTTTTAACAGGAAACAATGTTTCTTAGAGTTGCCAGTGCCATCTCTGGCTTCTGAAGGAAAAAAAATTAAAGAAACTTCAACATCCAAACCTATAAACAGTGAGCTACTATCATGAAAGCCACCAATTGTGAATACCTTACAATATGAAATCCCTCATCTATAAATGGTAAATGGCCTGTATTTATAGAGCACCTTTYTATCCAACTAAGATACTCAAAGAGCTTTACACTACAGTCTGTAGCCCTCATTTACCATTCACACAGCACTCTGTAAAGCTAACCCAGACTGATCAATGGAGACTAACCAGTGCTTTAATTATATTCATACACTGATGGGACACACATCAGAAGTACTGGGGGTTCAGTGTTATAAGCATGCATGGGTAAAATCCAACATGGTCCCACACAATTGTGGTTTAGGGGCAGATATTATCATATTTTTTTTCTTCTGCTACTACCTTTCATTTAATTTATTATTTGTATTTTTGTTGTATGTTGAATTTATGTTGTTGTTTTTTAAAGAAATGAATAAACTAACTGAATGGAACAATTGTGGTTTATGACCCACAGCTTGTTGATTTAGATCTGGCCATCCTTGGCATGGAGGAACAAAAGCAACAAGAAGACTGTGAAGTCTGCAGAGTGAGATGAAAGTAGGAGAATTTTAAGTATGTTAAGCATCGTTTTATTTGTCAAAAACTGCCAGCTTTGACTGAAAGAGTCCGATTGTTTCTAATTAGTCTTGATGTTTGAACCATACACAAACTGGTTCAATGACCAAAGTGATGTTTTGACCCTCACCGTCTATGAGGGAAACATCTGTCTTAATGGTATCCACACAAAACCTTATACGGGAGAAGTTTCTCCTTCTTTACTTCGCCGTGTGTAAATAGCAGCTCCTCGACCAAACTGTGTCCACCACACACACATTCAGGTGCGCACGCTCTCCGTTTCTCCGACCCTTGTGTTGTGGGGTTACACACCCACACAAGAGTTTCACTCAGGGTGAGCCAAAAAGCCAGCTTACCATCTATCCAGCTAATTCCTGCAGTTACAGTCTGTCCTCAACATGCATGAAGCATTAACGCRAAGGAGGAATCCATTTTTGTGAAATGCAGTTTGAAGGGTGCACATGGGACAACAGAAAGCAGCTAAAATGACAAAAGTTGCCTTTTTATTTCGAAACAATTAGGAAGTGGAACTTGTTTAAAAAGTTATATGTGCACCAGTAACACAGCTAGAAAGAGGGATCATTTAGTCCAATCTTTAAACAAACTTGTACTTCTTGCTAGGGAAAAAACAGCACCAAAAATGAACTATGTAATTATACATTCCACAAAAGGGCCAAAAACAGGTTTTAAAAGAATAATTACAGCTCAACTACCTGTTTATAAGCTGCACGTCTGCAGAATGTGCAGTGGCTTGCCAACAACTTTGGCATGTCTATTTGTCAGACGAAAATCATAGGTGGCTGACTGATCACCACTTTAAAAAGGGCAGGAAAATTTAGATTTATTATGGTGAACCTGAATCTAATCAGTAAAAAAGCCAAACTGTCTAGAGTTCAAATCCACAGCCCTGCCTAATTCAGTTTTATTCATTTCTGTTCATTAAACTGTACAATTTGTACCTCACAGTTGTTACCAAATCTAATAAGAAGGGTTCAGACATGCCCTGGTCTGAAAAAAAAAAAAGACTAGGGCAGCTAAATGGAGGCTAAAATTAGAACAAAAACATGCTGCACCTCTCCTGTCTGACACCACAGCAGACRAGCCTGAAAACAGGTTTGCAGTAAAGAGAAAAATAAGGCGCAGATTATTTTTGCACAAATACCTTTATTAGGTATCACAGATATCCGCTGCCATGCATAAAACTGCTCTGCACTGATTGCAACACGAGGCATCAACTGTCCTTCAGACACAACAGAAGCTGGACGGGTTTCAAAGGCCGGTTCCCCGTGGCGGCTCATCCTGGGTGAGCAAGTCMGGAGTCACGGCGGTCAAAGTGACCCATAAATGGAGTCTTGGTTATGTAAAGTACAAGCTCCAACAAGGTCACAGAGGGAGGAGAAGAAATTTGGAGGGAGAAGAYGGCAAAAGAGAGTTCTATTCCCTCTTTTTTTTATTCTGTTTACACTTTCTACATCCAGTAAAGACTCCACTGTTCTCTGCTCAAGTGGGTTTATTTAAAGATGATACTGAGTGTGTATATAACTGTGACTGAAGGCTTGTCATTCAATATGAACATGCAAGTGTACTGTGACTTAAGAGGACAAGCCAGATAATCTCCTGGTAGAAGTCCATGCAGGCAAGGTGACCAGGAGTTAGGACATGTGCCCGGGCATTTAAGCTGCCAACGAGTCCTTCACAGGTGGCAGAAAGGCACCAGGAGAGATACAGCTCTGTCTCCGAACAAACAGTTGGATGTTAACAGATTTTCATGAGACAAATATCACAAGCCATTCTTATTAGCAACAAAACAAGCTTTGTTTTCTGATGTAAAAATACGCCGATTCTGGTTGGAGGAATGTGGGCCGGTTTAAAACTCCTTCAAAATCAAACTGSTTTGCATGTTACTACTCAGCTAAACATTTAGAGCGCGCGAAACTTTCTTACAGCAATTTTATAATTGGAACAACAATTAAGCAAGGAAGTGCTAATAACACTGATAAAAACACATCCTAGCCTTATGCTTCCTTTATGCCAGGGGTGTTCACAAATGTTTTGAATTTGGGGGAGAATTTCTAGAGATTTCTTTAAATGTCTCATGCTAATTAACAATACTTTACTGCTGTTTTAACCCCTAAATGCCATGGAAATAATTATATATTTTTCATTTGGTTTAGTAGAGAGATGCCCCATTTGATTTGGCCCAGTTGCCCTGGTTGCTATTTCCTGTTGTTCTATGTAGGCTGTGTCCAAATTCAGGGGCTGGGTCCTTGGAAGGACCCAACCCCTGAATTTTATAACTTTTATACTGCCAGATTTTTTTTTTATATATCTGTATTCCTTTCCAGACCCACAGCCTAAAGGTCCTGTCACACTAGACAACCTATGCCGCCACTTTGCTAATAAAACTTATGGATTTGATCAATTTGTTCGAATGACATTATGTACATGCCGAAAAGAAGYTTCCTGTTGATTTTTTCAATTCCATCTTCAATGAAGATGTCTTTAAAATGTTCATAAGGTGGCATAAGCTGTCTAGTGTGACAGGTCCTTTAGAAACACTTACATTCATTCCAGCTAGTCTATAATTTTGGCCCACACTGAATATTGTGATTGCCAAATTTTAAACAAATAAAAATAAGATGTACTGTATTTATTCATGTATAATACGATCTCATGTGTAAAACGTTTTTTGAGCTTAAAAAGCATAAAAAATTTAATCCTCAAACTACCTCCAATTTCATACAAACTTCAAGATTTTTCAGCCTTTGCAGTCTTTATACATATCAGTAAAATGATCATTGGACTGTTCATTTTATTTTAACAACATATGCACTAAAAGGTATTTTGACAACAAATATATAGCAGCTGTAGCAGCATCATATGAATTCTGGCATTTTACACATAGTCCACCAGGAGGCACCAACACAAAAGTCAGAGACTTCACATGAGATTTGGGCCATCTTGTGGGGGAAAAGCAGATTACTTCCTACTCACGAGCGCCCCCTCTGGTGGGGAAATGCTTTTTCAGGGATACAAACTTTTTCAGAACACCGGTAGATGGCAACCATTACAGACGAACAATGTTCGTTGTTGTTCGAGGAGCGGCCCRGTCACACGCTAATGTCATTAGTTYGCTATCATTACTGAGGTGCAGGAATACTTTTTCCCCCTTTTTTTCACATCATGTCGCCTGCCTGGATCTGTTATTATCTCGCTCTGAAGTACGGAGGAGTGTCAGAGGTAAGCTTGCTTCAACTGATTTTACAAYGCGGTCTCATTTCCGGACTCAATAATTTTGTGAATGAGGCCAATATTTCAGTTAAAATACATAAGTGAAAATACTTATCCGAGTATAGTACTACCYACTAACTTTATGGATGATTTTATGGATTTAATTTTACGTATTATACTTGAATAAATAYGGGAAGTCATATTAACTTATTATGGCAAACACCAAAATAAACTTAAGATCCTTTAAATGAGCTTTAAAGTAACACAACCATATTTTTCCATCCTTAATGGWCTCACCTATCTGCAGCAGCACAGGTGTCACCAGCGCCGTCTCCATGGCGTAGCAGAACTCTCGGCCGAACATCACCGCGCCGTGCATCACCCATCTCTTCAAAGGGATTCCTTCGATGGATCCTTCGCTCGCCGACTCTTCCCCTCTCCGCCCGCCGTCTCCTCCTCCTCCGCCCTCCAATCCTTCTGCCTCGCCGCCCTCTGCCCCGTTCTCTTCCTCTGGGCCCGATGCTGTGGATTTTCTGGTGACAATCTCGCCAACCAGAGCTCCGACTTGCATAGCGTCAGCCTCCGTGTTCTGGGGAGGCATGGTGGAGGGCATGCAAGCAACAGAAAACAAGCACACCCCCTTCAACACAAAAAGCCCTGAATGTCAAACTATCAAAGTAAACCACCGCTTTCTTTCTTCAAAGTATTTGTTTTTTTTGTCAAGTTACTCGCAGCTACTTCAATAAAACCTTTTCAAGCTACCAACCGTAACCAGTGGATTCAACCAACTGGCTATTTGATTATTCTATCTTTAAAGTCTACGTTCAATAAATCTTAAAAACACTAGAGTAAAAACGTAAAACTGTCTCAGCAAGACGAGAAATATAACTCTTCCTGTAAAATTTTAAATACTGAAGAATCTATCAACAGATCTAACACAGATCTAAAATTTTTAATTTTCTAAAAAGAAAAAAAAATCAGCAATGAGTCGTCCTCCAAACAAGTTGTCCTTCAAAAAACCCACTTCAAATTCAAATCAAACCCTTCTTGTTTTCCACCCACAGGTTAGAAACCAAAAAGTAAATCAGCTTTCCAACGGCTTGTAGAAAATCTCAAAAATATTAGGTCAGCCGTTGATTTTCACAGGAACAGTGAGWGGTACATTCCAAGAGCGACTTTGTGCATTTGCTCCTTTGTGTGTGTGAGAGATGAAGAATGTAAAACTCCTTTAAATTTGTTTTGTTTGTATTCAAGTGTTTGCATGTATGTGTGTGTGTTTGTGAGTGTATGTATGTGTGTGAGTGTATGTAGGGGTGTTTATGGCTTTTCTGTCATTGAGGTTTCCCTCTGTTTTTTTTTTTTTTGCCTTCTTACTGTCTATTACAAGCAGTAAAAATCCATATAGAAGACCACTCAGTGAGTTCCAGAGTCATTTTGTGTATTGGAGGCTGGATGGAGGGCTGGATGATCGTGTGGGTGGGGGCGAGCAACAGGTCGCTGCAGGCGGGGGGAGGAGGTGGAGGGCAGGTGGCAATGGTGGGCGGAGCTCCTGTGAAAATCCCCATCGATTGGCTGATCAATCTGGAGGAAAAGAGAGGGGGAAGAAAAAATAAGCAGTGAGTTGTGGGATTTTTTTTATTATGCTAACATGAACATGAGCTATTGTGTGAATGAGTTCAATGTGCTTTGACATGAGTCAGCTGACAAGAAAGAAAAGTTATTTAAAAACGTTTGAAGCGCTGGAACATTTTTATTTACACTGATCCAGGCCTGGTGTGGCTAATCGGGAGGACCAGGAGTTTTCCTGGTGGGCCGGTCTGATATTTGAACCGCAAGGGCCAGTAATGTGTTAGTTATTGATCAGATCACTGCTACCACTGTCCCTGTATTGCCAGGCAAGTTATATGATACAAGGTTCTGCCGTAGACCCAGGGCTACCTCTGCCTCTTGCTGGCAGCTCATCTTTATTTATTTTTCTTTTTTGTTCTGCACTCTGACATAAAACGTTAGCGTACCTGGTCAGTAGTGTTTGAAAGATGGAAGGAGCAAGCAGCGCGGAGAAAGTTAGAATTAAAAAAAGAAGGGTCAGATTTATAAAAGATTGCGTGGAAACCATATTAAAAGTGAACGTACGGCCAAAAGGCGAAAATGGCGTACGCCAAAAATAATTCAATTTATAAAACCGTTTCTGCGCAACTTTCCTTTATAGATCACATCTGACCCTCAGAGTTTGCGCACAAGGTCCCGCCTCATGTTCTACCCTCTACACGCCCACATTCAACCGTAAACAGTCAATGCAAAGTACCTCATGAATGTTGAGATGTATTTAAACCAGTCAGCTAATCAATGTCAAAAAAAGTGATTGGCTCAGACACGCTCCGTCGTGCATCTGGAGGATGACAAGTGCTGACTAACAACTGCTCACGTGAACAGAATGTCGGATTTTCCCTCATTTTGCAGGTTTACAGATGTTTAGAGCAATCTAATGATTTTTATCAAAAACTCAGCTTCTAATTAATTTTCTCTCAGAGYCTGCAGGACGATAAAAACAATAAATAAAATTAAATAAGTCAAAGTTCACCGCTTTTCTCCCCATCCTCCCCTTCCTCTGTTATCTGCGGCAGCCCCCCCCCCAACACACACACAGCCGCCACCCACGCGAGACAAATACGGACTTTGTTTTAAAGATTATAACATCCACACTGGTGAGGGTGGGCGCGCCCTGCGCATACCCAAAGCCTGACTTTTGCTGTTGTGCTGTTAATATGTCTGTTGTCGGGGAGGGGTCTGTGGGTCAGGGTCGTCTGAGGAGGAAGGAGATGATGCGTGAACTTTTATTTAAGATTTAAGTTTTTTCCCCCCCAAAGGTCCTTATGGCTCAGCAGCAGAAACATAAATAATAGCCTACTGTTAAGAAAACTGAGGATAAAGTTGAATAAAAATCAAAGTCTGATTATGAAGTGAAATTAAATATCTGACAGTGATCATTACACAGCTTGGCTCTAATTCCTCACTTCACCATCCGTGTCGCAGTTTCCCATCTCCAAAATGAGCGTACGCATGGGTCAGAGCTGGCGTGAGGCACCGCACATTTTCACGTCAAGTTTTGATTTTATAAATCACAACCTTTGCGTGAAAAGTGGCGTACGCAAGTTTCTGGGCTCGTATTGTGCATACACAAGTTTTATACATCCGTCCCCTGGAAACTAACGTAGCTAAACGTGCAAAAATTAGCAAATTTTCAGTAAAGGGAGGTCGTGGTTTGACGATGATGAAACAGGTAAGGCAACATGTTGGAACTTTGTCTGCAAACCACCATTCAAGTTATTGGTGTTGTGGTAAATAACATAACATTATATAATTTAAACGATGCAATGCCACATAACTGGGAAACTGTCGTGTTGCTTCTCAGAGTCAGAACAAAGATACAGATCCATCCTGCTCCAGAGCCCACATGTCCAGAATGTGCAGGTAGGATCACTCATTGACTGAGTATTATTAAAATGAATATAATGTGTATGATGTAGACCTGCTCTATATGATAAGTGCCCCGAGGTGGTTCAGCACATTTATGTAACTGAGCTGAGGATCAGAAGGTTCTGTAAAAAAGAAAGATTTGTGCAGAGCATTATAGCATTATTTTAAAATGTGATTTAGTGTCAGAAGCAGAGCCAGAAGCCAGTAGTGACGAGGGGAACAGGTGAGCTGTTGTAACAGTGTGTGAACAAACAAGCATTAGTTTCAATATAACCACTTTGCAGGCCCAAACAAGTTATGTTTTTATAATTAAAAGTAAGATATACACAAAGTTGACAATTAAAAAGGGAATAAGATGAAAGTAATGTAGTAATGAATTCAACCTGCATATTTTCAGGTCATGTTGTTACTTTACTTAATAAGTGAATAAATGTGAGAAAAAAAACCATTCTAAAAGTTGATTTCTGTTAAAACATATTTTGCAGCATTGTTTTATAGTTTACAAGGGAGGTCCCCAGACAGAAGCTAATGCTGTTTGGGGGGCCATGTCATAGAAATGTTTGACAAACCCTAACATGAACCGTACAAGCAGTTTGACTTTACTTTTCAGACCTACAGATTACATCTATCTTAATCAGATTTTGTAATCTTATAAAAATCCATCCTGCGACCTTTTTCTTTAAATTTAAGGTTGTGAGCACACAATAATCTAATGTTGTAGCGGACTAGAAGGAGAGCTGAATGAKTTAAAACCCAGATTAATAAAAACTATAAAATACTACATACAGTAAGAAAGGTAAAAGAGGTTTCTGCTGCTTAGACAAGCCAAACCCATGTTTGTAAATTTGGGAATATACTACAAAAAAGAGACACACACGTCTYCTCTCCTGTGAACAGAGCCCGTTTTGAAAACAGTGTAAATTGGTTTGAGCACATGATTCGTCCTCACAAACACATGGACTATCTTTGAAACTCAGACTGGATGAATGAAAGAATGCAAAGCGTTGTATGAGCGGAATGGTTTTTTAAAATTGAGAAGCCATTTCAAACAGAGGGCTTGTGTGTGCCATGAGAATAAACAACAAATAATCGCATGAAAGAAAGAAAAGAGAAAAAAACCCAAACACACATGGAAAAGCCTTTAGCGATTGTCGACTAAAGGAGACATTCAAACAGTCTTCATTCCTGTCAATATTCTTACAGAGCTAAAGTTAAAAGAAAGGTTTGTTTGGTTTTAGAAAATCAAGGAGAAATAATTCAAAACGTCCATCTACGAGGAGGAGGACCAATTCAAAAGCCAAATTCAGCTACTTTAAAAAAAGGTACGGTACTTATATTTCTGATTTGGAGTAGGAATCTTTAGATCCAGTTCACACAATCTCTGAAAATGTTCCAATGGAAATGGTGAGAAAAAGACAAAAACACAATTACACTGTAAATCTGTGCTCGTTGAATACTGAGACCAATACTGAGGCTCAAAAGTGTAGGAGGAAAAAAGACAACTGAGTCATTCACAGAAAATTGACAGATGAAAAAGGTTGAAAATATCAGTCCTGCAGCCTTTTGCCACTTTTCCATCTTCTTCTCATTTCATTTCTCCTCTTAATGATTTCAAGTGCTCACATGCCGCCATTRAATTTGATGACGCACCAACGATGGTCGTGAATTTTTCATCGAGGATAAACACACAAGGCCCTCTTCACCTCACACACAAACACACACACACTGCAGCAGATTACATAACAGCCTGTGCCCTTCACAGGCTCCCATCAATGCAGAACACACACACACACACCCACTTCTCTTTATTTTAAATATAGGCACCAGGGAGAAACACCCCAAAGAAACCTCAACGCTGAGAAACAACACGTTAAAAAAAAACATGATGGTTCTGTTTGACCAGACCTTTCTTATTGGTTCAAATGTGATGGGAACGCAAGTTGTGGCTAAACTGGGATTTATGAGAAGATCCCAACTGGGTGGAGATGCTGCAATTATGTTGTTAGAGTGTAAACGTGTTGATCAATAAACATTTCACAGAACACAATATAAAAACTATTATTTACCGCAACAAGAAATTGTAAAGAAATTGGTAATATTTTGGTTGAAATTTCCAAAATGCAGATCAAAGTTTGCAACAAGTTGTGTGCGACCCCCAAAACTAGTTTTTCTTGTTATACATTGTAGTGTTTGAATGTTTTTTGTAAAGCAACAWTGACAAAGACTGTAGATGCAAATCAGCAGCTAAACCAGTTCAGTTTCTGGTCATTTTCTGGTCTTGTGTTTGAATACAGGATCCATATTAAAAACACACAAAACAAAGGTTGTTKTTGACATGTTGACTTTTGTTCTAGTGCAAGATTTTAAATGTCTAAAGAGCATTTCAAAACATGATAGTAATTCCATTTTAAATGCAGTTTTGTTTCRTTTTTTACAAGAAATGCAAGTTTTGTTTAATATAGTGTCTTTAATGTGTCAGCATCTCTGTTGGTTTGACTTGAAGAGCCTGTGTGAGTCATCGTTGTAAAAAAATGTGAATCTGCGGCTTCTTAAATACACAATCAGGTGAATCTGTGTTTTCTTTAAATAATGTCCCAAAGATGCAGTGACAAAACCACTGTACCACTGAGATTAAGAGAGAGAGAGAGTTATATTTTAAAAAGTGGGTGTGGTGCTGCCACTTGTGTCGGTCTAAGTTTATGAGCTGCGAAATGAAATGTCTGAAGAATTGTAAACATGTTGACACGTTTCGTTCCTTCAGTCACTGCCAAGAAGCTGGTGTGCAGGAAACCTACACTGGGTGAAAACACTGATGTGAGTTTGTTTCCTCAACTAAATATGTATTGTACACATTATCAGTTCTACTCAAGAATTTATTTTTTTGACTAATATGATGAATAGTTGGTGCTAAAATTTTGATCATTATACCTATTGGTACTCTTGGTTTTCTCTTTTTATTATTTATTTATTTGGTTTGTTTCCCGGCATCCATTGTAGACAGCAAAGAAAGAATTTCATTACTCAGTGAAACACTTTGAATCCTTCAATTCTTGAAAGAGGCTTTGTTAGTAGTAAACAACTCGAAGTTTAATAAAATGAATTGC